TTGCACAAGGAAGTAGTATTAATCTTGGTTTGCTGACCTTGGGAACACTGCTGTAGACTTTATTCGAGTTGCTGGTAGTGCCTATTGAGAGGCATTGGTTTTTGTCACCTGTTGATAAGTAGTTCTACAGTTTAATGATATTTTAGAAGCTAATCTAGAATAGCTTCAAAGCTATTTCTTAGGAGATCTAAGAATGCTGAGGCTCAATTTGTGGTAACTTTTCATATAAATATTTACATAGTGTAGTATAGTTCTCTACAACATATGTAATGTTGCTGTGTAGGTACACTGAGTAGAGTTTACATCTACTGAAACAGGTTGGCTGAAAGGCTAGAACATTGGGAGTACCTGATTTTGATGATTCTGAGACATTCAGTTGCTTGTTGATTTTGCTTTGGAGCTCTTCCAGAGGGTAAATTTTACCCAGTGGAGTAAATTATATTCACTTTTTTGATCATCATCATAAAAATATTCAGTACTACTTCCTGAAGAAGTAGCAAGGAAATCTTGGTAATGAAATTAAATGAAAGTTCTTATTTAGTTCCTTTCCTTTTTTGTACGTAATTGGATTTTTTTTAAGCCTTTCTAGACTCCATTTGTAAGTTATGATATTTTTTAGTGCTGCTTGTTAAGCAGGAATCTTGACCATGTTTCTTTCCTCTTGTCCAGAGAGAGGAATCACCCAGTGTGAAAAGATCATGTAAGTGAATCTGGAATCAGCTCTTCGCTTGTCTTCTCTCTTTTTTTTTTATTTTTTTTTTTTTATTGCCCCTCCTCCCTTTTGTCCCCACCTTTGTATCATGGTTATATTGCGTTTAAGGTTATGCTACCGAAACTTCTAGGTGGTCATAAAACGGTTGGGAATGAAAAAATGAAAGCATGCTTCCTTTCTAGCATCATCAACAAAAGCCATAATTTAATGGCTTGCTCTTTTTACGGTTGAGCTTTGCACTGTGATTACTCCTGTGCTATCTTAATGAGTTTTGCCAGTTTGTTCGTTTTCATATGCTGTATTTCTGTATCTGGATAAAGAGAACTGCTGATTTTTTTGGATGTGAAGCTGTGTTAGTGTTGGTCAATGTTCACGTAAAGCGTTTGAATGCTTTTATGCTTCCTCCATTTGGAAGCTGAACTTGGCTTTATGCATTCGACATGTAACTTTTCTGTCCTTTCCATTCTTCCTTGTTTGCCTGTGGTTGCTTTTACGTAGGTCTAACTGTGAAGAACGAGTGGGGTTTTTTGTTTGTTGTTATTTCAGATGTTGATACCTGTCATAGAACTTAGCAAACAATTGATGATGTTTCTATTTCAGGAAATCACACAAAATATGAAGTAATATGTAAATGCGGGAAGTATATCATTGCCAATAAAACCCTGGCTTCATTGGCCAAGTTGAATTAGCAATGTTGTGTTAGGATATCTGAAGGGAACTATTCCATCCTATTAACTTATGTGTCTAGGCATGGAAACAACATGCAGTGACCTTTATACGAAAGCTTGTGGAAACAAATATAGCTAGTGGTACTTGTGGAACTCCATGCCTCCAAGGCATGGTACTGCTCTTAATTAATAATTACATCGTGGTGTGTCATAAACAAGTACCATTACTATTTCTTGCAGGGAGATCTAGGGTAAAAGCCAGCAAGCCTGGTTTCATTAACAAAATCATGGTTAAATCTTTAGGGTTTCTTTGCCTTTCATCCTTTCTGTTGTAGTTTTGGGGATGTTGGCTCCTGGCTAGCGAAGGACATATGCAGTATAAAGGAGCCTTGACCTGATGGTGCTCTAAGGAGGTAAAAGTGGAGGCTCACCTTCACCCAGCAGTAGTGAGGTGAGGATCTTAGGAGAATATGGCAGTGAGGACCACTTACAGCTGAGCTCGATGCTTTTTCTGTCCGAGGGAGAGAGTGGTTGTCACTGTGGTAGGGAGGAGGACGAGCCTTTGGAGGACTAGGAAATCCATATTCAGCTAAGTAGTATATTATCAAATGAACTAGAGACCCAACCCTACTGCAACTTTTGCTTAAATATAAAGAACTGATTTGCAGAAATCCATAGAAAAACTAAAAAAGCTGTTGTATTAAATTTGTTTTGGATACATGTAGTCTTTTCTTTTTTTAAATAATTGTTATTTCTTTGTTTTCGTTCTGATAACTTTTATTGGAAAAAGTGATAGATTTTTTTATTCTTAATGACTCGCAACAGAAATTTAATTACAACACTCCTAAGGCATATGTGAGAAGAAGCTAAGATATTTCAAGTAATAGCTGTGAGGCAGTACATTTTGCTGAACTCATCAGTGTACTATGTCAGGGACGGCAATACGCTTTATACTCTTATTATTGCCTGTCATTAGAAACTGTAGCATTATTTCTTTACTTTCAGAGCTGTGAAGCAAAAGCATACTAGTTTTTGGACCTTCTGTGTTGCTGGTCCAAATGTTGGTTCTGCTCCATGGTTGAGTAAACTGAAGTTTTTGAAATTCAAGGGCTTGACTGCATATGAGTGACACGTCGCTTTCATTACTTGACTATGCTTCTGCCAAAGCTAGAAGGTGTTAGCAAGCTGACCTGCAAGGGTCTGGCTCCTTGGACCCTGTCTCTCGTTTCTCCAAGCCAGTCGCAGGAGTGAGCCCCATCCTTGTTTCTTTGTCTGGGGATCTCTGTACACTTTTAACTCCACAGCTCACTTTAAAGGACTCTTGAGGTTTGTTTCCTCAGATGTAGCCAATAAAGTGCCAGTGTAGCTTAGCAGACATCAAGAGGAATGACCGGCAGTTGGAGAGAAGGATAATTGTGTGTTGCCACTAAACTCTTCTGCATCAATGTGGGTTTATGGTGCTTCTGTGTGGGATCTGTTTAAATCTGTCTGATCTGTGAGGTGAGTTAGAGGCCAAAGTATTGGACTGAGATAAGACAGACCAGTCTCTTCTAGCTCTATAGCTGTTGGGATAAGGAGTGTTTGACAGGTCAGTTTGTTTCTCCATGACCCAGCTTCCTTATCTGTCAAGTTGTTGCAGTACCCTTGATGTATTTGTAAAACATTTTGAAGTGTGTCAGTGATGTGTGTTTAGGAAAACTAGATTGTATCATTATTGGATGCAGCCCATCAATGTTTGCCTTAAACATTAGCAAATGGGAGCCCTGTGTTTTGGTTTAATTCTGTTTTTAATACTTGGGCAAACGTGTACATGTAATACCATGGAAATCTGTACACACTTATGATTTTCCTGTGTTTTGTGGTGCGATAATGGAAAACTGTTATTAATCAGAAGCTGGATGAAAAACAGATTAAAAAGAACTAAATTGGGAGTGGTGATTGAATGCCAGTTAAGCAATAAAGATGTTTTTTTCCTCAGTTCATTTAAAACAAACAAAGAAACCAAAAAAAGAGTGAGGAAGACTGTAATACATCAATCTGCAAAGCCTTTCAAATTGTAATGTAAAAAATATTTGGGTTTCTCTTTGGTTATAATACCTGTTGGGCTTACCTCAGAATCACCTAGTGTATTCTTTTGTCTGCTATCACTAAACTTCCTAATCCTTTTTTTTCCCCTCCTTTTCAGAGAACAAGGAACAGAAATACCTTCCTTTGACTCATTGCTTGTCCTCTAAGTCTGGGCAGAACTATGCTTCCCAACTCTGCTATGAAGAGCTGAGCAAGAATGGATGCGACATAAAGCAGAAGTCCTGAAGTCTTAGTCACCAATCTGATGGACTTGCTGTGAGTAGGAGAAAGACTTGTTTTTCCCCTGTCTGCTGTGCAAATAAGAGTTCAACAGTGCATTATTACTCACTTTTTTTTTGCTAGTGCTAATAGGCAAACACCAGCATCAGCCTTCCTAAACTGTCACGAAGCATTGGTGTGCTCGAGGTGCTAAGCTGCTGTCCAAATCTGCTTCAGAGACGTTTGCGGTTCAGTTTTCGGTGAAATGACACCTAGCTACAGGTTCTAAAAGATAACTTCATACTTCAGGCTGAATTATGCTGTGTCTTAATGCGACTGCTCTTTATAGTCGTGGCTTTCAACAGGAATCATGCCAACGTGCCTGTGTGCAGGGTACTGCTCTGCAAGCTGGAGAAAGGTATTTCTCAGTGTGTGACCGAGGCACTTCCCAGGCTTTTTTTCGTGTAGAGTAACATTATGAGAGGACTCAATAGATTAAATTATTTATTAAAATGATCACTTGTGGAGGTGTATAACTGTCTATGTTAGAACTGTGGCAGCAAGCATTTATATTTCTTGTGTCTTTGCTAATCTGTGGTTTTACTTAATGTTAATGTTTAACTTTAAGATAAACGGCTATATGCTCGAAACATTGGATGTAGCTCCTCTCTTTTACTCTATTTGAAAAAACTTTCATATTGGTGTGGCACGTCGTTTCCTTGCTGTGCTTCTCTCCCTGTTTTTGGTGTGGTGGCTACAACACACAACCAAGAAAAACAACTGTTTGCAAGGCGGAAGAGTGAAAAAGATGCGGCGTGCGGGGCTGCTAGCCGTGGCGTTATCGAACGAGTTAGCTGAATTTGTGTTTCCTGATGCTTTGTTCGTGTTTTTGTTTCTGTGTCATAAACCTCAGAGCGATACATGAGTAAGTGTTGAGAGAGGCGGAGGACCTGAACTTGGTACTGACACCATGTGGGCTGTTGCCAGGATATTCTTTAACTCTCATTCTGTCAGCGAGAGTGAGCACTAACTTAATCTTCTCGGTTTGTGTGGCGCTCGTGTTAATGAATAGTTGCCACTGTATAATCCTCAAGGTTGTATTGAGAGGCTATTGAGATCTGGTTTCATGCTGCACCTTGATTTGTACCCTCTCTTGAAATACTTCCGTATTTTTTTTTTCCCTCCAGATTTGGCGTTTTTCCAAAGGAAAAAACGACAAGAGAGGTGGACAAAGCTGCTGGTTGTGATTGTTTTCTGTGGGTTTTTTTATATACATAGGTTCACACTTTACTTCCAAACACTTGAATTGTTTTGGTACTGCTGACAAAGGAAAGATGACCTCTACTGTAGTAAGTAAACAAAATATTCAAAATATTCCTCTCTGAGTTATTTAGTGTTTGTTTTTTTTTTTTAATGGGATTTTATTTCTTTATAAGTAGCAGCCTACTGAGTGATGTACCGGTTAACAAGCGTTTTTAAAATGCGCATATAAGTAATTGTTGCAGTTTCTTTTCTGTAAAAAGGGGAAAGATATACTGAGGCAGGTGTCAGAGACTTGAATTAACTAACATTTCAAGTGCTCAGGTATTCCTGGGAGAGATTTATGCTTTTAAAGCTTATTTTGGAGGGATAGTATATTGGCATGGCTTCTAACTAGTTCTTAAAGCTCTTCCCAGGATAAATATTCCACAACCTGTTGTAGGCCAGTGCATTTCAGAAATGGTTTAGGTATACCTGATGTTGCCAGAGGTCAAAATGGAGCAGTAGAGCATTTATCCTAGATGTGGACAACTGAGTACACAAAGGCTGTTACTTGTCAGCGTTTCTTTCAATGATGGTACCACCTCAAACCGTCCTTGCTGCTTATTTCTACCCTGTCAGAAGTTCCAGTGCAATGGTTTATGTGGCCAGCTGAAGGGGACTGGGCTCAAGAATCTTTCTTAGGTTGAGTTACTTTGGATCAGGAAACTGGTCTCTTCATATGCCTTCCAGCCTCACTCTCTGTTATTTTTGTTATTCGAAGTGCGAGGTATTAGGCATGTACTGTAAATCTCTTTCTCTGTGTAAATTGGAGTCACTGGTATGTGTATGCATGCATGGTGAATTTCTGCACTGACAGAATTACTTAGTAGAGTTCTGAATGTAAATGGCATCTGAAACACATTTCGTCTTAATTGCAGTCTCACCTCTTGTTTTTAATTTTTCTCCTGTTTCCTTCCCCTCAACATTACCATTTAGGGTCCACCGTCATACTATGAAAATCTGGGCTTTCAGCCAGCAAATGTCTATTCTGACAAGAAGCCAGTAGGTGCTAACTTGTATCCACAGCATTTCTCACCAAATGCTCCGTCAGTGCCAAACTATGTTCCAAGGGTTGCTACTCATCATTCGAGTAGACCAGTAGCACGTTCATCTGGGATAACATGTACATCAAGTAAGTTTTGCTGGGATTTTTTCCAATTTTAGATTTCAGGTCTTCCAAAGTAAGATAACAAACAAAAGGGATCTTCTCTTCCAATTCCTGTATTGAAGGAGCCACCTCCCTGTGGATGAAGAAGGAATAACTGGCTGGGATGCCAGTGTGACTGGACAGCAACCTGGGTGATTTGGAGGAAGGGTGGTGGAATGGAGAACAGTCTGTCTGGAAAAAAATGCCTGGTTTTAATGTCAAGGAAATAGATAGTGCTGGTGCTGGAAATTACCTTATTTGTGAACTATTTTCTCTTTTTCTCCTTGCTTTCATTTCAGGTGCAAAGAAAACCATAGCCATTATATTATCCATTTTACTGGTAATTTGTGGTGCAATTGCTGCTTTCCTCATCTGGTATTTTGGTAAGAGGTTTTTTTTTTTGATTCTGAGGAAAAGATGTATTAAACTTTTAAAGTTCGAAATATACATTCTTACCTTCTATTTTACACTGAATTAAGGACAGGAAAATCTTTGTTACCTATTGTCCTGGTTTTGACCGGGACAGAGTTATTTTTTTCTCCTGAGATATGAACTAATATTGCTTCCTAATGGCTCAGTTTTATTTTTGGGTTGTTTTTGTTTGTTTGTTTTTGATTTTTTTTTTCTTCTTTCAATTTAATGAACAAAGCTGCTGTCGCTTTCCTTTCATGAAGTAAATATGTGATGTTAAGTGATGTCATCAGCTTTTTGACTCTTCTGGAGCAGCTTATTCAGGTGGCTTCTCTGGAGAGCTCCAGCCTGTCTGGCAAAAGCTGGTGCAGTACAACTGTTCAGTGCCATAGCTGTTAGTAAAGAGTAGTCTGACCTCTTGCAAGGGTTTTTGCATTGGGAGATAGCTGGCACGCAACTGCACATGGACACTACATTCTGCGGTGCATTTCATTAGGGAAGTCACTGCTGTGCATCCTCTCTGAAATGGAACTCTGTTCCAAATTTGAACTTCACTGAAGTTCAAGTGAGGGAAGGACATTGAAGTAAATTTGTATGCCTTAACAGCGAGAGTGTAAATGGTCCAGATATGTTTATTTTGGTAAACTGGCATCTCTCTTGGAGCAGAAGTAATTCACAGCCATTTATAGTACCTAAAGGGGGCCTACAAGAAAGCTGGAAAGGGACTTTTTTACAAGGGATGTAGTGATAGGACAAGGGGCAATGGCTTTAAACTGAAAGAGGGCAGATTTACATTAGATATAAGGACAAAATTTTTTACAATGAGGGTGGCGAAACACTGGAACAGGTTGCCCAGAGAAGTTTTGGATGCGCCATCCCTGGAGGTGTTCAAGGCCAGGTTAGACGAGGTTTTAAGCAACCTGGTCTGGTGGAAGGTGTCCCTGCTAGTTGCAGGGGAGTTAGAACTAGGTGATTTTTAAGGTCCCTTCCAACCCAAACCATTCTATGATTCTATGATTTGTTTCTGTGAGGCTTTTTCTCTGAAAGTGTGTTAAAGTTGTGTGAGCCCAGCCTGCCTCACCACTGTAAGCTGTAACGCAGATGATACATTTGCCTTGGAAGTCATCCCTAACCAGGGTGACAGAGCACTGACACTAGGCTCCGTTCAGCTCAGATGATGTTTGTCTTGTGCTGTCTTAATTTCCTTTTCAATGAAAGTCACTTTTCAAAGGAAATTAAAAAACAATCTGCTGCGTTTATAGGAGCCTCTCCTTTCCATTCTGTGCGGGAAAGGAAAGGAAGAGAGAAGGGAGTTCATTTGAAACTATTAAGATGACACTTTGTGTTCTTAAGGTTTTTTTTTTACTCACTTTGATTTATACAGGGTGAATATAATCTTGTTTTAAATGTCAGCGAAAGGAAAAAGATGTAATTGGAGTAATCACTTTCTTCCTCCTTTTCTGTTTATAAGTGTTATGCTTGGTCAGTGTGAAGCTGACTCCTTTTAGACAACTTAATAGTGCTTGCTTATTCAGGGGAAGCAGTGGACAAAATCCAATCAGCTGCACCAGTGACTTAATCTGACAAGTGATGCAAAGGACAGAGCAATACATCTTCTGTTGTGTCAGGCTAGGCCTCCTCCCATCTCTGAGTTTAAGAGCTCTTGCTGATGTTTTGCTCTATCAAAGTGGAATGCTCCTTAAGATGAGAGTTGGCAGCAGTTGCCTGAGGCTAAGCTGATGTTCAGTCTGACGGGAGTGTTGCTCTCTCCCCGCAGTAGAGAACGATCCCTGTGGCTCCTTAATCGAGTGTGGATCTTCAGGAGAGTGCGTGCAGCCCTCGGAGTGGTGTGATGGAGTGAGTGACTGCTCCAATGGGGAGGATGAAACCCGGTGTGGTGAGTGCCAGCAGTCACAGCGCGGGGGACCTTCAGCCAACTGTAAGAGTTTTTGAGAAAATTGCCTTGTCCAAAGCTTGTCTAAGTAACAATAGCACCGTTTTAGCCGAAGTTGTATCTCTGAAATCATTTGGGATGTTTGAGCGCTTTGAAGCCTATATCTAGATATTCAGTTTGTTTCTAGTCCGGTTGAAAAGCCGAAACAAAATGACTGACTCAGGGGTTTGAGCTGGCTTGACTTTGAATCAATTTTTAAAATATCGCCTTTTAATTTGAGCAGGGTTTGTGCAAAACTGAATATAACAATGTCTCTGGAATGAATGGTCATCGTTGACTTCTTAGTAGAACTTCAGGTGATAGCATAAATCTGGCAGTCTTCAATCAGACTTGTCTTTTTCCACATATTTTGCATTTGTTATTCTCCCAATAACACTTCAACTACTTCGTAATTCCTTTATGTAAGAAAGCCTGGTCTGATCAGCGTTTCCACTTAAAAAGATGCCAAAGGAAACTTTAGTGCAGAGCTGAAGGTGGACGGTGGAAACATAATCGATTTGTCATTCCAAAGGTGTGGCATCTTGTTTCTAACACCTGTATTGTGCGAGTGCCACTCTGGAAAATTTTGGCTGTGCTTTTATTCTCTCTCTGGGAACTTTTATTCTACAAATGCCTCATGCAGAGTTAGCATTTACTGGCATATACTTTAAAGCTGCTCCTCTCCATTTGGTTGAATAATAGGTTTTTGGAGAAACTTGTTCAATCTGTTCTTTTGCTTGAACTATTTTATATTAAATTCTTGGGCAAATAAATACATAATGGGGCATAGAATGTCAGAGCTAATTGTACCTTGTTACATTCTTGCTCTACAAGCACTCCTCTGAAGAAATTCGATGTATTAATATATAATATAAAATATATTGCAATAGATTATGTTTTATTTATACACAATATATGATATATTAAGAAATATATGGTTACATAGACAAAAGAAAAGATTGACTATTGCAATCTTTCTCGGTTGTAGAATGTGAAACAGAATTTTGAGCATAAAAGCTGAAATGAAAAGATGAACCCTATCTTGTAAACTCTCATTTTTAAACCGGTAGTTCTTTTAAACTGCCTTACACAAAAGGATTAAGTCATTGCCCCATGCAATGCAACAGGCTTGAGGAAGACTGGCTGGAAAGCTGCCTGGCGGAGAAGGACCAGGGGGTGTTGGTCAACAGTCAGTTGAACATGAGCCAGCAGTGTGCCCAGGTGGCCAAGAAGGCCAACAGCATCCTGGCTTGTATCAGAAACACTGTGGTCAGCAGGACTAGGGAAGTTGTTGTCCCATGTACTCGGCATTGGTGAGACCACACCTCGAATACTGTGTTCAGTTTTGGGCCCCTCACTACAAGAAAGACATTGAGGTGCTGGAGTGTGTCCAAAGAAGGGCAACGAAGCTGATGAAGGGTCTAGAGCACAAGTCTCATGAGGAATGGCTGAAGGAACTGGGATTGTTTAGCCTGGAGAGAAGTAGGCTCAGGGGAGACCTTATTGCTCTCTACAACTACCTGAAAGCAGGTTGTAGTGAGGAGGACATCAGTCTATTTTCCCAGGTGAGAAGTGATAGGACAAAGAGGAAATGGCCTCAAGTTGCATCAAGGGAGGTTTAAATTGGATATTAGGAAAAATTCCTTCACCGAAAGGGTTGTCGAGGATTGGAACAGGCTGCCTAGGGAAGTGGTTGAGTCATCATCCCTGGTGGTATTTAAAAGATGTGTAGATGTGGTACTTAGGGACATGGTTTAGTGGTGGACTTGGCAGTGTTAGGTGAACAGTTGGACTCGATGATCTTAAAAGTCTTTTCCAACCTAAATGATTCTATGGTTCTATGATTGTGATGTTTCTGTCTACTTGATATTTACTCAGAATCTGAGTAGAAGGCAAAGTAGATTAACACTAGTTCATACGTACAAGCAAATACTATGGGTAACAATAATTTTAAGAAGAGAAAGAGCAGTAATATACCGTGTGATATTCTTGGTTTCTTTTTTCTTCCCCCTTCTTCCTTTTCTGGCAGTTAGACTTTTTGGACCAAACTTTATCCTGGAAGTTTACTCACCTGTCAGCAAATCCTGGTATCCTGTTTGTCAAGATGACTGGAATGATGATTATGGGAAGACTGCATGTAAAGACATGGGCTACAGTGTGTAAGTCTAACCTTGATCAGCCTTTGCACATACATAGAAAGGTTAAAATTTTCCTCTTGCCATTTTTAAGAATGCGTATCTGAAACAAAAAGCAGCTGGCAATTAGCCCGCTTGGGTCTGCTTTTAACGATGGTAGCTGTTACAGAATCGAAACGAAACATTGCTCCAACAAGTAATGGGGTCTGGCACGCATGCAGTGATTACTCAATGGAGTCACTTGTATCCAATACATTCACTTACAGCCATCTTCCAGAGCTCGCTTCAGATCATTCTAATTGCTCAATAACATCCAGTCTGACGTAACCTGGCATTACTAGTATTATCTGGAAAGCCTTGATTTTTCTGAGGACACAAGTAACACCAGCTCGTGTAGAAGATCGCCATAAACATTCATGGCCCAGAGCACGGGCTGCGTTCTCCCCATGTAACACTGTGGCCTAAATTCTTCTGCAGTTGAAATACTTGATGTTACCTCTCTTTTATACAGTTGGCGAATGCTGTTTTCTGGTGCGTGTGGAGTAATGGAGTGAATTTATTACCCAGTCAGGCAGAACTTGCGTGTGCCCACGCTGCGTCGTGGCAGTCTGAACGATGGTCTTTGAACCAGCAGTAGCCCCAGCAGTTCCAGCTCCAGTAAGACAGCCCAGCAGCAACTACACAGAGCTGGTCCTTAGCTAGAAAGCCTGGCAGAACAGCAGCACTTGCTACCCCTGTCGTTATTGCATGGAAATGTGGCAGTCATGACTTATTGGACCTGAACTCTGCTATGCTGTCTAAATGTACCAGAAAAGCCATTGCTGTCATGCTGTGTTTCATAAGGCTGAAGATTCCTACCGTGTATGCATAGTAGATAAAAATAATATTTTAATCTAGTAACTGTTTGATGGGAAATGGAACTTGAGAAATGTTTAAAGAATCTGAATCTGTAGCACTGTACTACAACACTGGCATTTAATTTAAAAAAATAAATAATTTAGTCTTGTTCATGTCAGAAGCTCTAGCTTGGCACAGTTTGTTTCTTGTTTGAAAACTGAAACTACTGGGTTTCATAACAGACTTTCTGTTTTGCAGAGATACGTATTACTACAGTCAAGGAGTAGCAACTGAAGTGAGCTATAAAAGCTACATGAAGGTGAATACAAGTGCTGGGAATATAGACTTGTACCAAAAGCTGTATAGCAGGTATCTTTGTTTAATACAAACTTCTTTCCTTTTATCAAAGGTCTTTTTAGCTGTTGTAAGAGGCGTAGCTTCTGCCCGTAGTATAATGCAAGCACATCTTTCAATGAGGATCATTAGAGGAAAAGAGACTTTGTTTTTAACCTGACTGCAGCAACTGCTCTCCCTTCTATTTAAAAACATAGCTGTCATTTTTCCATCCTTTCTCTCCTCTTTGAAAAGAGAAGATGTTCCATTCTGTTCCCTCCATGTTGTCTAGAAGGTTGCCATGTCAAAGATACTTTTTTGCTAAGGCTCTTTGATGATCAACAGGAGTTTCTGTATGGTGACAATAGCAACCAGCTGTAACACATTCACAGCAGCTAGTACAGCTCTTTTTTTCAGTCACATGAAGACACAGCATGCAAAATGGATCTTTCACTGTGGAAACTGTCATTTTTATTCTCATTAAACCAGACTGAATTGTGCAGTTTCTAAACTGGTAGACTGCTGTACCTGCAAAGTTCCCATGGCTCCCTTGTTTAGGTTCTTCTACAACTACTTCACAAATCAGCTCAACTTTTTCTCATGCTGTTCTTCATCTTGCTCCTCAATAGGCTTACAAACCTTTTGTACTGGCAACTTTAGTTGTCCACATGACAGTTTTGGTGAATGCAAGATATAGTGGAGGGCAGATGGGTGCTGGTAGGGTAGCTGGAGAGAGTGAAGAAAGGAGGGAACCCTCAGCGGGAAGAGGAGAGTGAAGGCAGGGCGTGTAGCTGGAAAGAGTAAGCAGCAGCTGGAGGATGAACTTTGCCCACCGTTTGCTTCACTGTGTGCCTGAAATCCTGTTTGTTGTGGTTTGTGGTTTTTTTTTGTTGTTGTTGTTTTGTTTGTTTTTTTTTTTTTTATTTCTCGTTGCAGTGATTCATGTGCATCAGGAAATGTGGTTTCTCTGCGCTGCATAGGTAAATGTTTATGTTTCTCAAACTTCTGCTTGTTTATGCTTTGAAATGCTCTGACTGGGAAATCCTTTTGAATCTGCATAAATAATTGATGTCTTTTGATGGGCAGATGATTTAACTCTGGTTTTCAGGCTTCAAACAGTGCAGTTTAAGGAGCACGGTGGGAGAGGAGAACGAGGAGGATGTTGGATCCTCAGTTGCTTTTGTCTTCGCTGCTACTGGTTCCTTTAAATGACTTACCTGCAGTGAAGCTCTGTAGCCCTCGCCCAGCACCTTTGGTGGGACGTTTGTGGTGCATCCATTCTCCAGCCGTTGGGTTGGCCATTGGGTGGGCAGCGCATTCCTGACGGTGATAGCTGTCACAAGGGGACTCCTGGCTGTCGTCTGTTTTGTTGCACAGTGCAAAGGCATGTTTCTACCTGGCTTGACAGAGGTGCTTGAATCCCAGCGCTCAAAGGTGTAACAAACCACTGGTTTATGGCTTGTGGTGAACCGAGGGCAGCAGCTACCCAGTGTGCAGCTTTATGTTTGCAATGTGAAGGGGGTCTAGGCTATGGGATGCTCAGGATCTCATTGTCTGGGGCAGGGGAGCGGACTACAACACAGACCACATCTGACCTCTGCACTGCTGCCTTCAATAGAGGTCAGCTGTGGTCTGTGCTTCCCTCTGCTAGCGAAGCATGAGCTGCAGAAGCATCTTCCAGACCAGCTCGTTCTTTAACTAATGCCTGTGTGTGTGTGACTGACTCCTTAGCGTGTGGCCTGTCCACTAAAAGCGTGAAAGTTATGAATAGAATCGTGGGTGGCAGCGGAGCGGCGCTGGGGCAGTGGCCGTGGCAGGTCAGCCTCCACGTGCAGGGCACCCACGTCTGTGGGGGCTCCATCATCACCCATCAGTGGATAGTGACAGCAGCACACTGCGTGGAAGGGTAAGTGTCGTGTGGGCATCAGAGCGACCAACTCCTTTTTCATCTCTTGAATGGTGGTTTTTGTTGCTTCAGGCTGAAATGCACAGATTTACTTAAGTCTCCCAATTTTCTGCTTTAAAACTGAATTAAATACCGTTCTCCCCCGCCTTGCCTTGAATGTGGATGCTAGATGCGTTATTTTGGGTATGTAGCAGTATGGTTTTCAAGTATTAAGGGAAAATTTGTTCTGGAAGACGCCGGCTGCAGACTGTCTGCCTGCTTTCTATAGGAAAAAAATCTTATTTTACTTGTTAAACGTGGAAATTAAGTTAGACAGCGGTGTTGGGCACAGATACCCACCTAAACAAAGAGGTAAATTCAAGGCACCAAACTTAATGCCAGACAGTACAACGCTATCATGAAGATATTGAATTACACTTTGAGGAAAAACAAAAATACAAGGGGAGAAAAAAAGCGCCAAACCCTCGAGTATCACACAACTGTAGATATGATCAATTTAAAGATGCTTGTACCATTTATTTCCTCATATCTTCATGCCACAGGGTAGTAAAGGCCAAGTCAGTATGAAATGTAGGTTTATACTTACCCAAGGAACATTTTACATAGGTGTCAACAAGAAAAATAGCCGATGCTTTGTACATTTTTTAACCTATGAAGAGGACGGTTGAAAGTGTCGTGGTACCTTGTGTTCAGTGGCAGAGTTATGTTTAAAAGATGGCCGCTTCTGTTGGAGGGAAAACCCCCTAAGCAAACACATTTTAACGGTTGGTTGGCTGCATCACAGCCTGAGACTAAGCCAAGGAAAAATAACTTTGTCCTTAACCTTGAGAAAGGAATGCAAGTGTTTATTTTTATGTGATGATCTTATCCCTCCTTTGTTTTCTGATTTCAGCTCTATAGTATGCAAAAGCTTTAGGAATGGCAACCAAGCTGTAGCTGTCCCAAAACTGGTTTTCAGTCTTGACCTTTTTTTTTTTTTTTTTTTTTTTTTGAGAGGGAACAACTTGCAAGCACTCTACTACCTTGGCAGTTCTCATGGAGGGAGTTTTAACACTTGTGGGAGGTTTTCTATTGAGCATTTGTAAACTGTGCTGGAGCACCAGAGACTACTTAAACTACATCTAGCGAGCATGCTTAACATGAAGAAAACTCCACCAAAAATCAAAACCAAACCAAACAAAAAAAAAACCCAGGCATTTTTAAGACAGTGAAATTCCTTCACTAGATCAGGTTTTTACTAATTCTGGCATCTGCTGCCCTTCCATGCTTTGGGTAGGACACGTGAGTGATATCACTGACATGTGAGACTTCAGAAATAACTTCTTGATCCCTCAGCCAAGGAAATCAATAGACTTCAGTGTTGCAGTCTCAGACTATAATTTGCTGTGCTGAGTGACTAAGGGGATAGACAGTGATATTTAACCCATTTCAAAGATTTTTTGGATATGATTTTGAAATTAGAGTCAAGTTAGATGTCTCGCAATTCTTCTACCTTGTTCTTCAGAAATGGTAGTCAAATGCATGTGCATTCTTGGTTGCATATGCATTTGATTGCCATTTCTGAAGATGATTTTTTTGAAGGTCATAATCTGTGACTCGTTACCAGAGAAGCAAACCTTCTAACGTTTCTTTTTTTCTGTAGACAACTTTCTGACCCGAACAGCTGGAGGGTTTATGCTGGGATTCTGAACCAGAATGAGATGCTCTTACAAAATGGGTACAGAGTGCAGAAGATAATTTCCCATCCAGATTATGATACAGATTCTAAAGACTATGACATTGCCCTTATGAAGTTACAGACAGTGCTGAGTTTTAGTGGTATGTATTCTGCTCTTCTTAAGTGAAAAATCCAATGGCAAAAAGCACATCTGAAGTTCATCAAGAAATTCTTGTAGGTACTTACAGGAAGAACACAAAATGTCAGTAGATGCACCTTAGAGAAAAGAGACAAGGCAGAGGTAGAGACAGAGGGCACACCCTCTAATTTTCTAAGTAGGATTTATTTAAATCTAATATCTGGTAAGGGAGTTTGGGCTCATCTCAGTAATGTACTTTTACTCCAGAATGCTGTGTGGTGCTTAAGTATTGCCACTCCTGTACGTGCCAACTCAGGATGTAGTGGTGGAGCAACTGACTAAACCCTAAACTAAGTTATGTCAAATAAAAACTGGGGGGAAAAAACCTAGCCAAACAGAAAATCTAACAAACCGAAAACCCAAACCCAAATGTTACAAGAAGTTCCTTCCTTAAAAGTAGATGTAGGTTGTTTGTAAGCAAGCAGTAAAAACTAGCAGACAAAGTATTGTTTAAACTTGAAGTGCTTCATGTGTACAGGTGCTTTGTATTTCAGTGCATCATCTTAAAGCTACTAGAAGTAATCTGGAGGGGCTCTTCTGCTGCTGAGAGTAGAGAGGTTGCCTGGTTTTGTGTTTCACGTTTCTTACATACAGGCATTGAATCCTGCTTGTTTTGTGAGTATTTTCAGCAGGGTTTTGCAAAGAGAATGCGAAGAAGTAGTTGTTGGAAGTTTTTCTTCTTTGTCCTCTACTGATCAGAAGGGCAGGTGTTAGTTTTTCTAGTAAGCCTGATGAATTGAGCTAGAACTATTAGCTGTGCTTGTTCCTCACTTTGAGGTGAACTGGGAAAGGGCAGCTGGTAAACTTGCTGCTGCTGTATGCATTGCACAGAAAGAAAGGTAAAGTACAGAGAAAATGCAGGGTGTGTATGTATTTAAGTGGTGGTCATGCTGAGATGTTTCATATGAATTTATTTTGAATTATGTCTGGAAGTCTGGGATTACAGATGTTACTGTGTTTGTTTTGTAGATACCGTACAGCCCATTTGTCTGCCTAATCCAGGAATGATGTTCCAGTCTAATCAGCAGTGTTGGATATCTGGGTGGGGAGCAGAGATATCTGGAGGTAAGAGCGGCACTGGAATATTTTGGTCTTCTGCATAAACCATTCCTCTTCAGTCTACGAATGACCATTGCATGGGCTGATTGGGCAGTTTGTGCCAGATCTGTTGATATGATATTATTTCACCTGTTTTACAGCCCCTAATATTTACACAGGGCATTCTGTCTCAAAGCAAGCTGTGATGCGTTGCATTCAGCAGATCGCAAAGGAGCCCCAAGTCAGTACCGAGGGCCAGAAATACTCATGCAGGAAACAATAATTCTGTGCCCCTGCTTCAGTGCCCGTGCACCCTCTCCTGTAACAAGGGTAGCAGTACGCCAAGTTAGTCCTCTGAGGACATGGGAAAGGGCAGGATCCTGTACTTTCCACCACCTCAAGCTAAAATAGCATGATGCAAGTAAATTTCTAAGAAGTGAGAAGGAAAGGGACGAAAGGATTTTTCAGTATGAGAAGGTACTGGGTGGGGAGGGGGGTCTTGGGTGTAGCTGGACCCTGAGTATGGAAATTGCTGGCTGCTTGTGCTGGACCATGAAACTTGGGGATGTCCTCTTCACCTCTTGCAGTCTAAAAGTGCTTTTAATAGCCCTATAGGTATCACAGTTGATTTGAGGCTGGAGTAGGCAAGTGGGTGCCATGTTCTCTTGCTTTATAGTACACTGACAGCAAAGCAGAGTAACTCACTGACCTCTTGGAAGGGAGTTTTAATGCCACAGTTGTCTCTGTGTGATGGATCACACATCTGAAGTGTCCCTCCCTCCCAATGTTTCTAGTAAGTTTATTTTATCTCGAATGGTGCTAGCTGCTGGGGTTTGTAATAGCAATGTAATATGATGCTTGTTCTAATTTTGTCTTTGTGTGTTTTTGTGCATGTTTCAATTTTAGGTAAAACATCAAATACCTTGAATTATGCTATGGTGCGTTTAATAGAAAATTCTGTGTGTAATTCTCTCAATGTCTATAGTGGCATGATTTTGCCTACAATGGTCTGTGCAGGATATCTAAGCGGAGGAATTGATTCCTGTCAGGTAATTATTCCTAATTAACACCTAATAATGATCTCATTATTTTTGTGGTCTTACTAGTAGGTTTTTTAAATCATTTATTACTTAAAAACAGATCCTATGCAAAAAAACCACAATAAAATTTGAGTAACATTTTGGCTGGGCTTCTAGTTCCTTTTGTGATGCATCCCTGTAAAAGGGAGAGCTTTTGTTTCATCTTCTGAATGGTTGCCAGTGCTGAATTCTTGCTAAATACCCAAAGAGGGTAAGACAGTTCTTTTTAGTTGCTTCAAGGATGTGTTGTTATCTAGCATTATGCTTGTGAACAAGAAAGTCAATAATACCTATCTCACTTGGTGCTTTGGGCAAACAATTTTCATCCCTATTGCAAGCAATCATCATTTAATACTGTAATTGCCATCATGTTTTGTTTCAGTGACCACCTTAAAATAGTGATTAGCCTTTTTCAAAACCTAACTTGTATTCCTGAAGTGAAATGAATTGTGTCTTTCCTGGTGGCCAGGTCACTAACAATATGCTTCTGTCTTGTGCAGGGTGACAGTGGAGGTCCTCTAGTAACCAACAAAAGCTCCGTGTGGTGGCTGGTTGGAGATACCAGCTGGGGAACTGGCTGTGCTAGTCCCAATAGACCTGGAGTTTATGGGAACGTGACTGTATTTACAGACTGGATTTATAAAAATATGCAGGTAAAATATTTTTTTTTTAAATAATTTTAAATGTCCTGAATCTGGAAACTTAATTTTATTTATAAAAATTCAATAGTGAATCTATTCTCTTGAGAAGCATCCAGGAGATAAGGCAGTCTGTCAGCAGAACTTGAAACCTTTTCTTTTTTTTTTTTTTTTTTTTTTTTTGACTCACACAGGCAAACAGATGACCATGCTGTCTGTCCTTGCTGATTGATGTTTTGGAGAACAAGAATAAATGAAGCCATGGGTGCCCGGGATATTTATTCACTTTGCAAATGATTTTTTTTTTTCTTTGACTTTTCTTTTTAAAAATGACATGAAGGATTGCACACTCGGTTCTGTGCTGGCTACAGTGACTGATCTTAATCAGTGAAGGATTATCACAATGAGCACCTTTCTTCTTCTGGTGCCTGGCAGAAAGTCCTTCTATTAACTGCTTGCTGAATCGTCTCTCTTTAGTCAAGTAACTTTCACTTGATAATCAGGTACAGGTTTATAATGGCAATTTTAGTCACAATTTAACTTAAGATTTTCATAGCAGGATGTCGAGACAATTGGTTTAGTAGTGTTTTAAATTAAAATGTTAATTGAACGTTGACTCTCTGAGCTGCTGGTTGGCAATTTAAAAAGAAATGAATTTTTGTGGTATATATGAAGGGAAGTTTTCATGCACTACGGTAGAGGCACAGAAAAAAAATACTGTATATTCAGGTAGTTAAAAATTCTCAGGATCTCGATGCAGCAGTCATCCAAGTCAGGTTGCTTGAAGTGATACCAGTCTGACTGCCTCAGTAATTAAAAGTGCTGTTCTGCCTTAAGCTGCTCTGAATTCAAAAAGGGCAAGACCTGCCATCACTCTCGATGTAGACTAGGGAGAGGGATGCTCCGGAGCTGTGGCAGGAAGCGGTGAATTAAGTGTCCCGATGGCGAGGTCCCTGGCCAAGCACATCGAGGTTGACCCTTCAACTCTTCCTGCTGTGAAAGGCAAAGGGCAAAGTTTTTCAGCAAGGCTGTGCTGAAAGCTGAACCTTTGATGGCAGATGCCATACAGAGGCTGGATGTTTTATACAAAAAAACCTAAATCTGCGTTTCTGCCTACCCAGATGAACTACCTCATTTATTAAATTTGGCTTTTAATTCTTTAAAGCTCTCCTTTATGTATCTGCATGTATGTTTTTAGCAAAATGTAATTAATATCAGAGTGCCACCTCAACTAGGATTTTGAAAATAATTTATAATCAGAGGATCAAAAAGCCATATCAAGTCACTTTTTTTAAGAAGGATAAATCTTTTGAATGAAATGATTCTGCTAGTCTTGTTTTCTCTGTTGGTACTGAAATACAATAATCTTTCATGTAAACACTGCACCAAATAAATTTATTTTTTTTTTTTACAAATAGTTGTCCTTAGTAGTGGTTTATGTCTTTTCACTTGGATTTTTTGGAGGCAGTTGCTGGATTCAGTGTCTGAAATGCTTTGAGAATCCAATTAAAAAACAAACAAACAAAAAAACCCCACAAAACCCTAACAAAAAAAGTATAAGTTGTTTAGCCTAAAGGCAGTGGGTCGAGGGAGTCGCACCCTATTTTGTTATGACATGTCATGCTGCCTAAAGCAATATGTACCTGCCTCTTCTTTAGGTGTGAGACAGGGTGTTTTCCATAGCACATATGGGTATTGAGTGTGCCCTGGGGGATACCATGAAGTAGTCAAGAAGTTTTAAAGTACTTTCAAAATAGAAATTAAATTAAGTTGTTATGGTATCAGGCTTTTTTATGGCTTCTGACCTGCAGCATTGCAAGTCAATAGTAACAAAACAGTATACTGAAATGAGGAAACCTGACTACAGTGCTAAACAGAGTTAAGAAAGCGGAGTGCTGCCTTGGGGTGAACGCTGTGCCACAGAAGTCACAAATCTGCTGCTGCAGTTTGATGTCAGAGGGTCAAACACCTTCTATCATTTCTAGCCTGAAGAGAAGGCTTCACCTGTAAGCATCTTGGAAATTACTACGTGGCACACTGGTACAAGTGCATTTGTTTTAGCTGAATGCAGACATTATTCTTGCTACACAAAGCACAGCTTTGACCGTTAAAATAAATCCTGCATATGAAAGATGTCATGAATATAGCATGCAGTAGTATATTTTGCACTGGCTTCCATGAAATGAAAGGGCTTTTGGAAAGGTTCTCCTTGCCCTGGGGAGGGAAAGGAGAAAGGCAGCAAGACACATGCTGAGACACCCTTCTAATGTTTACATCCTAAGGGATTTATTCCCTTTTGGACATCTGAATCTTGCCATCTAGTGCCCATCAGCCCCAAAATTTCAGTCGATGCTCCAGGCATCCAAAAGAAAGAGCCTCTTAGGCTTTCTCTACAAATCAGAGAACTGAAAAAGGAGAAACAGACCAGTGGCATCCTGTGGATGTACCGATCAGATGATGTCAACTTTCTTTTCCCTCTAGGCTGGAGCTGTTTCATGCCCACTGTGTGCACCCTCTCTACTTACTGGGATGGGATGTAACAGTGGTGACACCTTGCACAGTCATCTTTCAGATAATGGCAAGAAAGACAACAAAAATGGCGAAAACATAAAGAGAAGTGGGGAATTGCCAGGGTTGTGCAGTAAGCTTCATCTAGGAAAGTTAATTTGATTTCTATGGGTTGTGAGTTATATAGATGAAAGCCTCCATCCTCATTTAAAAAACAAACAAACAAACAGAATATACAACCTTCAGAGCTCTAGCTTTTTAATAATTATTTCAATGATTGTACAGGCTTCATAAAGCAAATGTTTAAAATGGGATAACACACATTTAATCACAACTCCCCGAATGGAGCACTTTGCACAAACAAGGGCAGGTGTTTGTGTACAACCAATTATGGAAAATAAAGCAGAACTGAATGCTAGAAATGAGTATTAAAGATCTGTGCTGACATTACATTTTTAGTGGATTTTACAAAGTTCTTCAGTAATGCTAGAGAACTAGAGTAGAAAAATCCTACTGAAAAATGAAGAAAGCTACATGGAGGTGAAATCTCTCAGGTATTCGCAGGCTTTGGTGAGACGATTAACGCGTTCGCTCAGGTAGTTTCTGTGTTTAGCAGCTTCACTGTCCTCCTCAAGGAGACGATTTAGTTTTTCGTTATCTTGCAAAAGATGCAACATTATGGTCTGTAAGTTATCCCCGAAGTCATGAAGGACAGAAGACAGGATGATCAGAGGTATCTGATTCGAGAGGCGTTTACTTGCTTCCTGCAAGAAGTGGGGAAAAAAAGGTAGACTTGTTTCCCAAAAAGAAGAGAAAAGGAAGGGGCTATAGGTGATCCAGTAAGAAGTGACAGCAGGTTTTTAAAATATTGTATTGAGTCACTCTTCGAGAAGTTGAGTGCTTCTAGGAACTAAAAAATGTTTGCCATTGGTCTCTTTTGTAACTAAAGATCGAAAAATTAAGAATTACGGGAATGTCAGCTGTTGCTTTTTCCCTCCGCAAACAAAACCCAAGACAGGCCATTCCCTGCTTAGGTCTGCCAGCTGTCATTGGTAAGAGTTCTATTAGGACATGCTTGACAATAGTACTTGTTAACAATTTCTAGTGTCAACCCTCTCTTCTCTGAACACTACCAGTCTGTTATGGTACAGGAAATCAAAGTGATTTTTCCTAAGGCAGTAAATTTCTGTATTTAGATAATATTTCTGACGTGGTTGTCCTTTCAAGTGTAAGACAGCTTTGGAGTAAGCTTTAGCCTTAAGGGAAAATCTCTTCAGCAATAGTGAGACTAGGCTGTGCCTACATTACATCTATTGATACGGTAATGCGATTATTTTCTCCTAAACCTGACAAACTAACCGGTATAGTTATCTATGCAAATTGGAACAGCTTGACCTAGAAGAGTTTGAGGCCTTTTCCCCAGAGACATCCGCAGGGCTTGGGGGCTTAGCTGGTGCTCTTGAACAACTGGGAGGTTCAAAACCTCTCCAACTGGGAGGGAGCTGCTTCCAGCCCTCCTGGTGCCAGGTGAGCACTTAGACCTGAGTGACTGGCTGCAATGGACAGAGGTGCCATCTGGCTTTCTTTTTGTGGCACCTGACTTGAAAATGTCTGTAGGAAGACCAGGCAGAGGCACGTTTGATTTCTACATCCTGTAGGGTTTAGGCAGCCCCTTTCCACAGAGGTCTACAGTGTTTCTGACTTTAGATACCTCTGGAGCTCTGTGGCTGCAAATCTTTCACATATAAGGATAAGGCTGAGCTCAAGCTGAAAAATACCTAAGACTAGATGTTTATTTTTTCTTTCTAGTTTGCAGAGATCTAATCAGTACCAAGCAATTCAGCTGAGTCAGCTAAAGCACTTACTGAGCCTACCTGTTCTCTAGGCACTACTGACTGTGGTGGAAGGGACCCTAGGTGCTTTAAGTATTGGTGTTTATCTGGAACCAAACTCAACCCAGAATCTGGATAGTCCTGCTGATACAGATTCATGCATGCTGTTTTCAGAGGCCGTGGACTCTTAAGAGCTTCCACATTCAAAGTGTATTTGGCCTTACATAAGTCCCATAGAGATATAATGCCTTGGCATTTCTTATTGCTGAAAACAACGGCTTGAGCATTTACAAAAATGCATAGCTAGCATCTGAGATGTTTGTGTTATAGCAGAGAGTATAGCGAGGCGGGAGGGAAGAAGTTTACACAGTTCTGCCTTTGTCTCTTGCTCTCTGAAAGCTGATGATTTTATCTCTGTCAGCCTAAACAGCCTGAACGTTTAAGTGCAGGAGTTTGTCAAAACCTTGCTATTGAAATTCAAGGTGAGCTGCTACCTACGTTACTGTATTATTAATATTTACCTTGTTGCTTTCTGAGGGAGTCTTATGAAACAAAGATCAAAAGCAAATCCTGATACTGTGTGTTCTCTTTGCTGTCTTTCTTTAACATGATCCTTTGTTAAAACATACCATTTGTCTTCAGAGACTTAACTTCTGTGGAGCTATCTCAATACAGCATATGCACTCTGATCTCTACAGATAGCAGAATCCATTTTAACTTAACGTTTTATTTATCACTCCTCCTGCTGCATTAGTTTAGGATCTGACTGCAAGCCACTGACACTACTTTCTGTT